ATTGACGTCCCCCAGTATACTGTTCCTAGATTTGTGGCAGGCAACAACCTTTCTAGTTCAGGCTCTGCCTCATTGATAACCCCTAAGGAATTACAACTTAAACATTGAGGAAAATTCCTAATGGCAAAAGTCCCCTGTGAGCATCCCATTGTGGAATGAGAAGACTAAATGTTGGGTGTGGAATGATGTTTCACTGTTAGATCATTCACTCTGGTTGGTTATGCTGGGGAAGGTTTTAGGGCTGGAGGTTAAGGAGTTGGGCCAACCACAGAAGGTGGCTATAGGGGACGCAGAAGAATTGCAATCTGTTTTCCTGTTTGCCTTTGTCATGTAATAATTTTTATATAATTACTTTTGGATAGGAAGATACAGGGCAGATGCTTAATAAACTTGAAAGATTGGACACCAAATGTTCTACGGGAGAGGGAAAAAATCCTAAAAAAGCATTTTCCCCCCATTTGGAAAAAGGCCTAAATTAAAAAATGTGAAAAAAATTATAATAATTGTAAAATCACAATATAAGTTTATCATACACCAGCCTCCTTTTCTGACCATACTGTTATAGAGGATTACTTGTGTATAGATCGTCACAATAAACCTTATTGCGAGTAGTGTGTGTATCACTCATATGCAACTACTGTTAGAGATTAATGTAGCATAGTATACATTGCAGAAACTGAATCAACACTGCCTAGGTAAAAACCTAGCACTGCGTAGCAAACCAACACTCTGTATGAACTTGAGAAAATTAACTTATTCTCTCTGCTGGCATCTCAGTGTCCTCATCGGTAACAAGTAGAAATTTTTTTTCTTTTTTTTTGAGACAGAGTGTTGCTCTGCTGCTGAGGCTGGAGTGCAGTGGCGCGATCTCGGCTCACTGCAAGCTCCAACTCCCGGGTTCATGCCATTCTCCTGCCTCAGCTCCCAAGTAGCTGGGACTACAGGCACCCACCACCAATGCCCTGGCTTAAATGTGTGTATTTTTAGTAGAGATGGGGTTTCACCATGTTAGCCAGGATGGTCTCGATCTCCTGACCTCATGATCCGCTTGCCTCGGCCTCCCAAAGTGCTGGGATTTTAGGCGTGAATCACCACACCTGGCTGCCAAACTTTTTTTTCTTTTTTTTTAAATCTTGAATGCTATGTTGCCCAGGCTTTCCTTGGACTCCTAGCCTCAAGCAATCCTCCTGCCTCAGACTCCCAAGTTGCTGGTTCTGAGCTACCACACCTCACTCAACAAACATTTATCAAATACCTACTACAGGGGTATCACTTAGTCCCTTCTTTCAAGGAATTCACCACTTTCTGAGGATGAGCGACATGTTCAACTAAACAAAAGCCGTTCTTCAGGGCTATAAAGTGCTAATGCTTCACTCTTATGTATAAAAAGTGTAAGCTGTTTCAGATAAATATTCTTTACCATATTGAGAAAATATTTTGTATTACTAGTTTACTACATTTTAAAATACAGGAATAAGTGTTTAAATGTCTTAAGTATAATTTAAGTACATATTGCAATGATTATTTTTCCTTCTTTGACCTTTTTGTATGCTAAATTATATAGTAAGACATTTTACTATACTAAAATAACCTTGCATTTTTGAAACAATACTAATTAACCATAGCATAGTATCCTCTTAATATGTTGGATTCCAGTTGCTTACAGTATATCAAAGATTTTTTTCATTTATGTTTATAAGTAAAACTAACCCTTCAAACTAACCTTTTCTACAAGCTTTTAAAATCCAAGAGCTTGTTGCTTGCCAATATAATTAACTAGCAATGATTAATTGATTCTACCAAAACTGATCAGGAGATAGAAGATAAAACCACAAATATGTTGTAAATGATAAATGGGATATAACGATGGAAGCATAAATTGCAAAACAAATTGTGACACTTTAAGTGAAATTTTAAAATTAAATCATTAGCATAACTGAAAACTTATATATTTCTACTCTCTACCCATTTTTTAAAATTTTCTCAACTGCTCTTAAAAATCAGTAAGAGGTGGCTGAGTGCAGTGGCTCTCGCCTATAATCCCAGCACTCTGAGAGGCCAAAGCAAAAGGATTGCTTAAGGCCAGGAATTCCAGACCAGCCTGGGCAACATAGCAAGACTCCATCTCTACAAAAAGTAAAAATAAAAATTAGCTGTGCATGGCAGTGCACGGCTGTAGTCCCAGCTACTCAGGAGGCCGAGGCAGGAGGATTGCTTGAGCCCAGGAGTTTGAGGTTACAGTGAGCTATAATTGCACCACTGTACTCCAACCTGGGCAATGGAGCAAGATGGTCTCTTTAAAATTAAAAAAAAAAAAAAAAAAATCAGTAAGAGGGATTTTTGTTATACTTTTTTAAAAGCACTATTTTAACTTCTTCTCTATAATAAAGTACATTGAGCATGCCAATTTGCAGATTAACTAGTTACAAGGATTATAAGAAATGTTTGCTAATTTTGGCTTTCTAAAGAAAATTTTAGCTTTGGTTTGAAATTTTGGCAAATGAATGAGAGAATTTATATGTGCCTTTAGCTATGGCCAGATGTGTTAATTTAATTTTTGTTATCTTCTGAAAGATTTTCCATTTTTTGAAGAGTTCAAATTCCACACAAATAGGCAAATTTATGAGCATAGAGTTATATTCTTAAGAATTACAGAACTATTTTCCCAGTCTCCTGTTTTATGAAGTGTTAAAGTTAATATAAATTGATTTCAAAGATGTGTCTTCTACATAAAAAGACATTCAAAGTGGAATTTTAAAAAACTGAAATATAACATTCTCCTGCAATTTAACCTCATATTTATTTTCTTAAAGAAAAAACATAAATTTGTGTGGAATTTTCCTAAGTTCAAAACAAGGGCAGAATTTACTAAGCCATTCGTAATGTGTTCTCCTAAAGCAAACTTTGTGCTTAGTTTTTCTGACAGCTATCATGTTTCAATGCAAATTTTCTTGCATTTCTATGAAACCTGCACTTTGCAAGAGATTTATTTATTGACTTTTAGTTACTCAATCTTGCAAGAACTTTCCTATAAAAAATTGAAGGTACTGTTGTGTTGGGTAGGAGTAGGCTGCACCTCTTCCAAAGTGATTCACAAAGTTAAAAAAAAATCACTTAAGATGGAGAAAGAAATAAAGAATAAATTTCTCTGAGAAGAAATAATTGCTGTTGTCCCCAGAGTACTAACAGCATAGGTCAGCTTTCTTCAGAAAGTTTCAAAAGGGCTCCTCAAATGTGAAGTCAGTAATAGAATTGAATGCTGCCAACTGCACCCTTGAAGCTAAGCAGTAATGACACGCACCATCATGATACAGAAATGGTCAAATACATTAACTTAATGATGGACCAATGGACGCCCCCTCCCCCAAGAAATGTGATTATATTGTGCCAGCTCTTGAATAAATGTTAGATCTTACACAACTGTGTTGCTCTTACTTTGTTCCCCCTCAAAGACCTTTTGAAGTGTTCAAAGCAAAAGATGAGAGAAGACGTGTGCTGCCCCAAACCACAAAAGCGATTTGCTAAAATAAACCAGCTTTGTGCCCTCAAAAACCTCTCCTTTTTTTTTTTTTAATTGAAAGCAGTGTCCACTGGTCTCCAAAGGGCCTATGAAAACAAAATATTCAAGTCTGAAGGACACCAACAGGCAGAAATAGGCAAGGTAATTCCAGTCTCACATATTGGTTTCAAAAGCAAAGAACCCTGCAGCTCAGGTCAATGCTAGATTATGTTCATGTCCAGATTTTCAGCTACCAAATTAACTATGCCTGTATAGAAATAGTGCACTTTCAGAAGAAAATGCTTATGCTAATGCCTTAGGTGGAAAGAGAAAAATGCAAAATTTTATATCTTTGCCCCAATAATACATATGGAGGCAAGAAATGCACACAGACAAGGACTGGAAAGGTACATAGACAAGCCAAAAGGACGACTTCTTAGAACAGCAGTGCTGTGGATGATTGTTTCTTCTTTTCTTTAAAAACTTGATTAAAGTATTTTATGATTTTTTTTAATTAAGAGTCAAAGCTAGAGTTCATAAATTGCCAGGCCACAGGCCAAATCTGGCCCATAACTACTTGGAACAAAAGTCATTAACATTTAACATTTAGGAGATTATCACCTGAATATCTGAATCTGTAGCCTTTAAGAATTGGGTGCGCTGCCGTACTCACATAAATTCCTGCCTGTGGACCCCGGCATGTGTGAACACTGGCGAAGACAGCTGGATTTGGAGAGCTACCGTGACTCCATCTACATTTATGAAACTTCTCCTTTCTTCTTTTTACATCTTTACCTTTTGGATACCTCTTCAGTGATTAAATTACAGAATGTCTATATCCACTTTCAGAAGTTACATAATCTGTGAATCTACAGAGTACAATACAAACTTGGCAATGAACTCACTAAACAGAAGCAGCCAATCCTGATACTACTACCACCAATAATAATACAATAAAAATCTTAGGTGACTGAGTTTTCAAATTAGTCAACTTTTACTAAGCAAATAATACACTTAAAAATTAAATTTAGAATTAGAACATCTCAGTATTCTATTCACAAAGACTTTCATGGAAATCAAAACCAAAGTAGGATAATAAGAAGCTGGATATATATTCAATTTATCTTTGCTCTCCCTGCCTTTTTAAAAAAATTATAATTATACTTTATGTTCTAGGGTACATGTGCACAATGTGCAGGTTTGTTACATATGTATACATGCCTTTTTAAAGCCTAAGCTAATGGATATGTTTGTGTTTGTTAAGCAAGACACATGGTACTAAATGAGCCCACTGAAAGAAGCATGATATATGTTGATCATTTCTAGTGTTCAAGATCATTGCTATGCCACTAAAAATAGCAAGCCACCATAAATTTAAATATAAAATGTCCAAGTACACATACAGATACATGCACATTTCACAGTATTCTAACAGTGTTGTTGCTGTTTTTTTTTTTTTTAATTGGCACCCATCATGCCCTTTTAAAGGGACAATTCTTACCTTGTTAATGGCCCCAGATCGCCTGAGTCTTGGCTTCCAGCTTCACTGGGAGTGCTCACTGATTTCGAGGAGGGAGACATAGGGGTTGGGACTAAATAATGAAAATAACAGGTATCCCATGTTAAAAAATGCAGTGGCTGCACTGGTGAAGAGCAGTGTCAGACAAATCAAAACAAATGGGCCCAAATTAAAGTGGTTGTATGGCCAGGAGACATTGAGATGGGATTTAAAAAAAAAAAAAAGGAAAGAAAAGGAAAAAAGTCCAGTGAATTTTTTGTATTTTGGAAATTAAAACTTGAAATGATTTAGACAGAATTAACATAGGGATTCTGAGGCCATGTCCACCCTAACAAAGTAAAATGGAGAATCAAAATAGCTATCCAGATAATTCAAGTCAAATATCTCTCTAGCATGAACCATCCAGATAATTTTGATTCTTCATATTATTTTGTTAGTATAGATGTGACCTATTAAAAATAAAACAGGGTGTCTATAAAACCTTAAAAGATTATTAAATAAGTGATTCTGAATAATTTTAAATGGTCAAGGACAGTCAGAAAAATCTGTTGTATGTCTGCATTTCGAGGGAAATGTGCTCTGTGGAATAAAAGCTGCATTTGCCACGAGAGCCTAAGTGACAGATAGAGAAAGGGTAAATGTTGAACCTGGTAATTAAAAAGTCTCTTTCAAAACAAAGAAAAATGCCAGGCTGCTTTATTTTTACATTTAATTAATAGTTGCATTCCATTGTACTGTTTACTGTCTTTGGGACTCGTCTTGCCTTGCCTCCAGCAGCTCTAGAAGACACTGCCATGTGCACAGAAGTAAGCTGCCACTCTGAAGACAGGAGACAAGTTCAAAGATCAAGGTCGGCACAAGCTGAAAATCCGACAGCAAGCATAACAAAAGAAAAAAGCTAAAGCCAATGCAATTTTTTCCCCCTTCCTTCAGATACAAGCCCAAGGTCCTTCAGAAAGAAGCTGCACCAAATAGCCAAGATGGCTCCAGGCCAGGCAATTCAGTGGGTTCTCAATATCACATATGCCAAAGAAGCCATATGGATAGAAAGAAATGTCAGCACATAAGTGTGGATTCGCATTTGGTTTCAATCATGTGCAATTTCCTTTTATTTATTTAATAGGGTAAAGGGCTTAACTATTTTGCCCAAATCCTATAACACAATGGCAGATCTGTCAAGGAGCTAGGAATTTTCATGTGGTCCCACAATTAATTCACTGATTACCCTCTGAGTAAGTTCAGAGGGTAAGTCGGAGAAGTGACTGAAAAATGAAAATGGGGCACTTGCCAGGGTCCCTTGGCAGTAATGCAGGGATACTTCAAAAGTTGGTCATGGTTTAGAGATGTTAATCTGTTTTGTTCTTAAAGTTTAATTACTGGCTTTACATAGGTTAGGGGAGACTAGGACATACTATTATTGTGTTTAACCAGTGTTCACAATGCAACAGAATTTCAAAGGCTATTTTGAGGCACAAATACAATTGATTGCAAGGTGTCTAACTCATATCCGATGTCAACTAAGTATAAAAAAAAGTGTCTCAGCTCCTAAGTAGAAAAGAAGGGCCATCAGTCAAATATAATATCCCCTAGGTTACGTCTTCCACAACATAAAGAAATTAAACAAAAGAATCTAATCTTATTGGGGCTTATTATAGCATTCTTGAACATACTATTTTACCTATTACAAATTGAGATTGAGTATAAAATGCTTATTAATAGTGTTTTAGTTTTGTATGTATTAAATTACATCCAGCAATACTTAATAATTTGTAAGCTTATTATATATTGTTATTTTCATTATTCATATTGATAGAAACATTTGCCATTTTGTTGTACATGGAATACTTTTTATTCTTAGTTTAATTACGGAAATAAATGATAATTTATTTTAATATAAAAGTCAATTATGGAATTAACTTCAGAAGAAAGTATTCTAAACAAAAGACCTGAATATTATATTTATTTTTATGTATTCTTTTAAAAGGGTTTTTAACTATACTGGATATAATGCAGTTTTATAGACACCCTAGGATTAATCTTAAATGTATGGAAAATAAAAGGATAAAAGAAAAATAAAACTATTACCTGAGAGATATATAGGTAAGTGACAGAATAAACAAAATATGCACAAGTAATCTTCAACACAAAGAAAACAAGTAATTCAATATCCAAGCTTTAGTGATAAAATGAGGTCACAATCAACTAGGAATGAATGAATTAGAGGAGGAGCATTGCAGTGAAAATGCCAATTAGTAATCAAATCAAAATACAATAAAGTCAAATTAATTCAAACTTGGTAATCGGCTGCTAATCCACCACCATTTTGTTTTCCTTCAAATTTCCCACTGTGCCTTCTATTTTCATCATGGACTAACTCTATGCCTGTGGTAGTTATGAAATTCATAACCAGATCCATAGTATTTAGATTGGCAAAGAGGCGCTGGAATTCAGCAATGAAAACAAAGAACAATTTAATAAGAAATTCCAAGATTTCTTATATTTACCAAGTGGCAACTCATTTAACAAGTATAAAATAATCTACTAGTAACACGGTGGAGAAGGTTGACCATCTAATCAGTCAATAAGCAGCAAACTACTGACAATTCTACAACCTTTCCTCCCACTTCCTTCCCGCCCTCTCAATTCCAAAAATACATGCAACCTGAACCATAAGCCACAGAATGTCTTTAAAAATAAAAATTAAAAAAAGTTAAAGACTTAAAAGAATAGTAAACACTGGACATGGTATATCCCACACAAGTTGATTCTGAGGAATAGTAACAGGAAGCACTTTTAAGTACCTAGAGGCGGCTCCGGTGAGATACCAATGCTTTGCAGCAAAGCCTCTGTCTCTCGTCGTTTGCGATCCAGATCAGAGTCATCCTGAACAGGTTCTTTCTTCTGCTGCATATCAGCCTAGAAGTAGACGTCAGTAAGAAAAGTTAATAACGTAACTAAATGCTTTTCCTGGCTGAAACTGAAAATGATAAATGCATGGCAGTGAAGACAAGGCGAAAGCCCTAAATAGATATAATCATATGTATAAAGGATGAATAAACACCATAATTGCTTCATTTAATAATTACTGGCCCACTACTTTCTCTTTTGGTTGAAGGCTTTTCCTGCTTCTATCACATGAGATGAAAGTTTCTCTCACAGGTTTTGGAAGAGAAAATATCAAGGCAAAGTATTTCTGGCTGGGGATATAATATAAAAAAAAAAATTCTGACTGTTTTTTTAGACCTCCTTGTCCCTTCTGGGATATCAGTTATTGATGACTGTGTTTGTAATATTCAGGTCCCAGGTTTGGGATTGTGCAAACCAGGAATTGTTGGGATCTTGCGGAAAAGTAAAACTATTTATGAACATGTTTAACTGTAAAACACACTATTTGTATTGCTAAGACAAGTTTGCCGTGGTTTAAAATAAACTGGGCTAAAATCTGTATTAAGGCATGTGATCAATACTGATGTGTCTTGGTACTTGATTCTAATTCTCACAAGATTCCATTATATATACTAACTGGAAGAAGAAAATTATCATGTAGAAAATATAGTACAGCAAATCATTTACAAGAAATTCCTTTCACAAATTCTGTCTAAAGACACATTATGTTTTTCATACCGCCCTCTTAATAATGTCAGATCCTATGCCAGTTGGTGTTTTTACAGATTAGTGACAAATTAAAAGGCAGGTAAACAAGATATGTGGTGGGATTCTAGGGGAAATTTAAACATTCCAAGTCTCTTCTCTCTTTCATAATACAGTTATTACTTAAGATAAATTATTTGCTCCACATCTGAAACATGATAACATCATGTTGATGTGTAACTACCTCACAACAAAGCTTTGTGAGCTTACAGAAGTGAGGTTGTCTTAAAGCCTGTCAAAAAACATTTCGTTATGAGACATACCTTCTTCCCCAGGGGAAGTTGGGTAAGCTAACAAGTACATTACTTTCTTTGGGCATGTAGAACACATTTTGAAGCAGTGAAGCATTAGTTACATTGTAGTATCTATAAGCAGAAAGAGTTTATGCAACTTTTGACTTACTCCCAGAGGGTAACCTACACACTGATTATAAACTAAGTGTTACTTTGCACATGTCTCTGCACTCAACAATTCTGTTATTATTAACTTTGGGCTAAAGCACTCATATTTTTGAAGTCTATCTGTCATTAGAGGGAAGACTACCATTTGAAGGCCAGTAAGGGCTTATAAGAGTCCTAGAGTATTTCAGACATTCTGCGTAACCCAAAACTATGAAATGGCAGTTTAATCTCTTATCAGTGAAGATATCAAAGTTCATGTTCTTTTGCAATTTTAACATTTAAACTACCGAAGCAAGTCCCAAAGTTTATGTGTACAACAGAGGCAAAGATAGAACTAAGATGAGAAAAAAGATGTTGCAGAGTGAGGATCTGTATCTACTACAGAATCCTACTATGTTTTAATCATTCAACAAGCAGTGATTTTGTAGCATTAGTAATTAAAAATCTTCAAGGTGCCTTTCTCAGCAAGTGATATTTCTGTTTGTGTAGAGTAATCACAGCTGAGACCCAGAGAAGATAATCAAAGAAAGAAAAATTTGTCAACTGAGAATTGTCAATCACTTTTCCACACACATTTCCACATTTATTAGAGAAACATGCGAGGAAGGGCCAGGAAACCCCTGGCCATTCTACCTCGCAGCAATTCGGCAAAAGGCCAAGGACAGAATGAAACTTCAGGGTGGCTCCCACTGAGCTCACCTCATTGCATTAAAGCCAATTTTTCATGAAATTGGGCCAGTGTCTTAAATGGTGGCCACGATATTTATTTTAAAATCAGATTTCATCCATAATATCACAGCCAAGAAAGCAGTTGACATCCAAAAGAGCAGAGGGTGGTCATTTTACACAACATGGACACAGTTTTCTGAATTCTGTGGAGATAATCAACTTGGGTGGTCCTAATTCACACTAGTTTTTATATTCATGGCAAAAAAAGGGCACTCAGTTTAGTATTAAAGAGCATTTATTTTCTTTTTAATGTTAAATTTATTTGTTTTATTTAAAATATAAGCCTAAAGAAAGTTTATAAAAATCAAGGCTATTTAAATCTATTTCTAATTCTCTATAAACAACACAAAACTAGAAAATCTTAAACTCGGGAGTCAGTGACAGTGGCCAGTCGATATTCCATGGATTCAGGATCAGAAGTTTCCAAACAAATTTGCAGATGCTTGGAAAGGATGTCTGGGACGTGCCTCACAAACCTGCCCTGACTAGTTCATATGTACATTTATTCACTCATTCATTCATTCTATAACTCCTTTTTGAATGTCTACCATATGGTAAAACCTATATTAGACATTGATTTAATGATTAAAAAACAAACAACAACAACAACAAAAGCATATAGCCCTGACCTTGAAAGCTTGCAATCTATTAGGAGAAAAAGACAAGTGAAGGGGAAAATATAACACCTTGTCCTAAATGGTTTGATAATGTCAATGATAGGATTCAGAACTAACCTAGTCATGAGGAAAGAAAGGTTTCAGAGGCAGCTTTCTGGAGAAAGTGACATAGGAGATGAGAACGGAACGACATGCAGTTAACAGCCAGGTGAAGGACAGCCAGGTAAACTTAACAGCCAGGCAAAGGATGATAGGAAGAAGTAGATCAGTGAAAGCAGAGGAAAGAGAACATCCTAAGCTCTCTGTCAAGAAAGAATGTAGTCCATCAGGGCACATGTAAGCAGCTGCATCTGACTGGAATGTGGATTTTAGGGAGAAAAAAATGGGGGCGAAAAGAGAATCTTGTTATGCCTGTGCAGACCTGATGATCACTGCAAATTGGGGTAGGGGGTGGTGAAAGGACGACTTCAGGTTTCTGATCTGGAAAATTGGCTTGATGAGCCTTAGAGGTAGCTCCCTTTTATCTCCAGACTCCTTCATGTGATTGGAGATAAAGGGGGACTGCCTCTAAGGCTTAGACCTCTGCAGCCCAGCTTCCCTATGTGAGAAAGGATCAGAATAGATTACTTCCAGATTCCTTTCAGCCACGAAATGCTCCAATCCCATGAAACTGGGGGCCTTGAATTTTAAGATCCTTCCAAAAATGGGGCATTTTTATAAAATGGGCTCACCAGCAGAGATCCTAAAAATGTATGCGACCATTCTGTGAAGCCCCATTCATCTACTCTGATAGCTGATCTCAGAAGCAGAATGACAGCTGTCTCTTACTGCTCTGGGATCTTCTCGAATCCTCTTGAATCTGTGAGGAAGACATCATTCCTTTTTCCATTTTACAGAAGAGGAAACAGGTTCAGAGAGGACTGATACCCATTCAGGGCCAGTCTGTGAAGGACAGATCCAGGCTTCCCAGCCATGTTCAACTCAAAAGCCCCTGTGCATAATCACTGTGTTAACTGTCTTCAGTCTTACAGCCCCAGCTGCTCAGAACCAACCAAGTCAGCACAGTTGCAGAGAGTGCATGGAAAGAACCAAGGAAAGATCTCTTTGAGGGGAGATGGATGGGAAGGGAGAAGATTTCAAGCCAGGAGAGATGTTAAAGACGATGTGGTCCAATGGATCCTAAAATCTAGCCCTGCTTCAGATCACTCAAATCAGAAACTTTGAGGATGGAAGACTGGGACTCTGTATTGCCATCTGACTCTGTGGAGCACAGTTCAGTTATCACAAGCTTCAATCACCATGTCACTTTAGACATGAGAAAATTAGGACTTCATATGATGTCAATCCAGAATGAGGCAGCAGCCAGGAATGTCTAGAGTCCAGGTGTTCCATACCCTCCACTACCTGCAGCCTCCAACCTTCCAGGGCTCTTCTTGCTGTGAAACCAGCTAAATCCTCACCAGGCAAAAGTGCTTGGTTGTAGAATCAAAAGGGGAGCCTGCTTCCATCAGTCCAGTGTGCCTGTAATTTCCCCAAAATGTGTAAAATGAAAAAGATGAAGCAGACAGCATAATTTGGAACGAAATTTCCCATATCACATCGCATTTTGTGGTAATTCTATGAAATTCAAGTTGGATATTAGAATGTCAGTTTAAAAGGAAACTGGTTATTAGTAAAGGATAACAGGTGCTTTAAAACTACAGTAAGTGTTGACATTTGAGGGAAAGGAAATATAATAACTTAATGCTTTTTTTGGCTTTGCATGGAAATGAATAGCCATTCCTTGTCAATTCTCACCTCTACTTCACTCAAAGACTGCATACGTAACAGCAAAGATCTCAAAGGGAAAAAACATTATGTGTGATGTCAAGGACAAACAAATGATCACATCAATCAATGCATAATGGTATGGAGAGATGAGAGATGCCAGAAGGCTAAAATGCAACTGCAATTATCTTTTACTTTGTTGGAAAATAATAATTATTGTAAATCTATTACCTTGGTCTCTCAGCCTTGTAGTATGAAACAACACTTATTTAGATTGTAAGGCATCAAAATAAGTTTTCTTTTTCCTTACAGAAGAACTGCATAGGGAAGCAGCTCTGGTTTCTATACACAAAAGCATATCATACCACACGAAGTTTTTTCTTAGAAAACTATTCAAAAATATCTTTGGTATCTGGTTTTTGTATAAGATGTGGGCTATTCCTACACTGCCACAACAAATTAGGGAACTAAAAATAAATTATTTGTTTGATTCACATAGTGGAAGAAAACGTGACATAACAAGGCATTGGATTGGGATTACAGAGTCCTAGATTCTAAGTCTAGAAAGCAGAAAGGCTATATTTCACCTCTGGGTCTCTGCTGCTTTGTTGGCACAAAGAGGGGCCTGAATGGAAAGTCTCTGAAATTTCAGCCAGATCTAACATGTAATAATTCTTTGTACTGTATGTACTATCCTATCTACCTTCTCACTAAGAGAAGGACAGCCTTCCCCTTACCAAACCTAAGATGCTTATTTACCATTAAAAAATGTACACCACTTTGGAAACAATGGAAATCTACTGGCATAGTTTTCTAATTTTCTGCTAAAATGTTCCTGCTGGTAGATTTTTCAGAAAAAAAAGAAAAACCTTTTCTTAAAACTAACATTTATTAAGTACTAACTATATTCTAGGTACTGCTAAGTACAGCCCCACAAAATAAATGTATTATTGTTCTCATATTAAAAATAGGAAACTGAGGCACAGAAAGGTTAAGAAGTTTCTAACAATAACAAGATCACAGACCACCCTTAGAATTCTGTTTGAGTCTGTGATGAACCTGGAGTTTGGAGGCCTCTGGAGCCTCTGGATCAAATGTTATCCCCTTGTAGGTGATGGCTGACCAGTACATAGCAGAAGGTAACAACTTTATCATGCGGAATAGGGACATAGTCAATCATTTTATTCCAATATCATAAAAGGATTCTTTTAGGGGATCCTATTTATCCATTTATCCATTTATCCTATTTATCCTATTTATCCATTTGACCAGCCCCTCAGAATCAAGTGATCTTTCTTTTTCCCCCACAACACCCCAACACCCAGGATTTACCTCTTTCTTTTTCCTCTCCTCTTCCTTCCGTTTCTTCTCTTCTCTTATCTGTGCTAAGCGCTGCTTTTTGCGCTCTAGCTCAGCTTTTAAGTCACTTTTGTCAGACATGTTGGTTTCCTTGGAGAAAGAGAAAAAAAAAGTGAACATATATAAAAATAACTTTTCTGTATATCATTGCAAAAATCATTTGAAAGAAAATGCAATTTGAAAATGTGACTTTTGGGTGATCAACAAGAGGTTGTATTATTTAGCCTATGTGAAAGAATCAAAGAAACAAATTAAGTTAGATCTGGTCCAAGGATATAAAATATTTCCCTTTTAGGTATATATACATAAATATCTAAAGAAATACAAGGTTATTATCTGGCCTAAGCAAGGATAGCAACTTCCAGATAATCAACACATTTTCTGTACAAGTTTCTTAACAAATAAACAAAAATAAATAAGAGAATCAAAAAAGAACCATCATCATGACTTCCAATTTAGATGATAATGGAGCAATTCATTCCCACACTGAGAAAAGAAAATAGGCTGTCATAAACCCTTAGAGACGTGCCCTGCTCAAATTTCTATGGACTCAATAAACATTCCTCCACTGAGCTAGGACGCATGGAGATTTCATTTTGCCTAACGTTATTTGCATCAGGGAAGACAGCTGCTGAAGACCTAACATGTTAATCTTCTTTCTCTGTAAAACTCCTGAAGTGTCACAGTTAATTTCATCTCCAACACAACCCTATTTCTATAAAACTTTCATTTGCATTCTGAATGTAATATTGCTTATTCTGGCACTTTCCCTTTCCAAAGCAAAGGGTGTTTGTGAGCACATGAAATGGGAGATAACACCATGGCAAGTTCTTAGGAAATTTTATCCAAACAAGATTTAATTTTAATGTTAATCATGGTGACGGTGCTGGTAGTGATGGTGCCAGTAACATTTTTAAATGAAATCAGTTCAAAGAAGACTCTTACTAATTACCAATGATTATATATTTGAGCCTTTTGTGCTCCCAACTGAAAACTAACAAAATGGAAACCTTGAGAAATGAAGGACCGCCCTCGCCCAATTTTCTAAAATAATGGGGAAAATTGACTAACCATAAATGTCATGAGTATTCATTCGCATACTATTTGCATGCAACTAGGATAAATATATAATGTATCTTGAAGTAGATTACAGAGCAACGGAAGGCAAAAAAACAAAAAAACGAAAAAAAAAAAAAAAACACACAAACACAAAACCCAAAGAATACAGAACAATGAAAAATTCTCAACTTTTTTGTCATTGTCCCCAGAAGGTAATCATGAATCTGCAGTCACTCTAGGACACACTTTCAGACAAATAAACAAGTTGGGAAATACACTGTGTTTCTACTATACACATTTCTGATCACAGTGTGACAGCAGAGATTTGTGAAATAATCAGAATTATTGCAATAACCAATCTCTGCCATTCATAATCATACTCTTTCTTCATTTTTCAACAAATATTTGTTGTATTTAATCGGTGCTAGGCACTTTATAATGAATAGGGATCCAAAGATAAGCAAAACCAGATTCTCTCCTTCAAAGAGTATATAGCTCAAATTTATGGACATGCAGTGTGGATAGAGATGTTCTCTGAGATATTGGCTTATTGATTACTCAGTGCCAGGCCCTTGACATCATTATCACATGTAATCATATCAATCCAAGTACACCAGTATTATTATTAATTCCTTTTCATAATTAAGACAAAGGAGGTTCAGTAAGTACTGAGACTGCCTAGCCAATAGATGGCAGAATCTAAATTCAAGCTGCCTAGCCAATAGATGGCAGAATCTACATTCAAGCTGACCTACTACATATTTGTGATCCACACTGTACAAGTTCAGAGGAATGCAGAGCAAAATGATAATCAAGGTCTGGTGGAGTATGCCAGGGGAAGCATTGAGGAGTAGGTAGAATTGGGACTGGGTATTGAATGAGGTCAGAACTAGCAAAGGAAGGGCATATTTGGATGTGTGAAGACCTGTCAAAGAGGGAACTCACAGATTGAGTGCAAGAGATGTGGGTAAATTCAAGCTAAGAAACAGAAAGTTGAGGCCAGGTGTGCTGGTTCATACCCGTAACCCCAGTGCTTTGGGAGGCTGAGGCAGGAGGATAGCTTGAGGCTGAGGCTGAGAGTTCACGGTTACCGTGAGTTATAATCATGCACTGCACTCTAGCCTGGGTGGCAGAGTGAGACTCTGTTTTAGAAAAGAAAAAAAAAGTTTAATTGGTAAGAATGGATATGTTGAGGCAACCTGGAAAGCCTGGACAAAACAGAAAATTGAGTTATATTTGGTGTAATGGGTGATGGGCAAACATAGCAGATTTTTGAAAAGAAAAGTGACAAAATAAAAATGGAATTTGCTTAAGCCTATTCTTGTCCCTGCCTGTATAACAGACTGGAGCAAAAACTAGAAATAAGGCAAGCTGCTGGGAAACTAATGCCAGCTTCTCTCTGATTCAACTGTACCTGTACAGGGATGGTAGGCAAATGTGGAGACAGAAGTAGAGAATGTGCACTAGGGAGAGCACAGCCAAGAGGGACCAAGGAACTCTTAGTAGCCTTTAAATATGGAAGCAAAAATGGAAGGTCCAGTAACAATTCGACTTTGAGAAGGCAAAGGGGATGGCAGTGAAATTAGGAAGAGAAGACAAAGAGGAAAATGGTGAAAAAACCTTGCAACATGTATGTCATAATTTGGGTATCAGTGGAACTTCTGGGCAGAATGCACAAATACAACACTACAGATTGGGGGAGAAGTGGGATGGGGGACTGAAGTTAAGGAATAGAGTTTGGAGTCATCCCCCTACAAAGGACTGTTTAAACAGAAGATGCAATTCAAAGTCTTAACAGAGCCAAGGGAGTAATTGAGCAAGCAGAGCCGTGACTGAGGGCCAGCCAGAGAGGAAATGCCCGGTCCACAGGAGGTAGCTCCACCAGGTCCGACTGAGGGTCCACATGGAGGGACACAGGCCCACGAAGTTAGATCTTCTGATATTTTTCTTTCCAAGAGAAGTTGCAGAACTTCACAAAAGTGAAGTTTATCACTAAAATACAGATTGCCAATAATTTTCAACACCAATGGGTAAAATTCCTGGCAGGAATTCCAGAAGTCATCTGAGAAGTTATAAACACCATTGACCAATGAGAGTCCATCTAACTAGTGTGCTGGAAATCTTTTGGTAGTCAGAAATGAAATGTATGATCAGAAAAATCACTGTTAAAGCAATAGCTGTTTCATTCCAAGCTGAAAGCAGCCAGGAGAATCTTCTTAGAAAATGTGAGTTTTCCCCTCCTCCACATTTCCCCAACTTTTACTTGACCTTTCCCCAACATTTTTTTACCTTTCTCCAATTCATCAAAACTGTCTGGTACAACTTCAGCAATATTTATTGTCATTAAGGAGCAAATCATAAGAAAGTCTTGTATTTGTTATGATTTTCTTGCAAAGAATTTCAATCACAAAAGGGAAGTAAAATGTATTCTCAGAAAATTTCTGCAAAGTGCAAAGGCTTTCTTGCAAATAATAAACATGTCTTACAATGTTGATCACTTAAGTTGGAATTCCCAGCCAGAGAGTCAATATTTTAAAAATAACAACAAAAACATTGAGGCAATTTTTTAAAAAAGATTATATTAGGTAGTGATGATCCAAATAATTTAAGTCTTTAAATGCAGCAGGTTACAATGCTAGAAGACACAACTGTAAATGGCCTTCCATTTATTGATTTTTTGATCCATTCCAAAATAGATGCTTAGTATCAACCCCTAGGAGAATAAGGAATCTCAAGAGAATGCCTCATAAAGGGTTTGGAAAGTACACATTATAGTGAATGAATAGTAAAATGGCTTAAATAGTAGCATTAAATGCAGTGTCAGCACTGAACTCCATAGGATTTCCTGGGGGGCTTGCTCCTCTGACCCACTAAATCTCCCTGCACATCAAATAAAGCAAATCGAGGAGCAAAGCATGAGGGACATGAGTTATAGAGATTCCTGTGGCTAATGAGGTTATTGCCAAGGCAATTCTGATGCACTCAGTCTAAGAAAATAAGAGTCAAAGCTACCTGCTGCTAATTATTGCTCATTTACTTCATACACATAAAAATCTGGTCTCTCATTTACAAATGGCAAGGGATCAAGTGGGTAAATCAAACCCACCTCTGGGTATAGGGCTCCTCCCTGTCTGATCATCTGCATGTTCTAACACACACCAGCCAACTCTGGGCTTGACTCCACCTAGACTTAGGAGGAATCACAGCTCAGTCTCTCCCCAGCCCCATCCACTGTGATCAGTTGTACTTTTGTACCTCCTGCTGAGCATCCTCGGAGCAGAGTCCCATATTCAGAACTCTTTTTCCATCGGTGGCATCTCCTCTTCCTCACTCACTTTCACCCACCTTCATTGCCAAATTCACACTTCTTACCTCCCTCCACCCCCGCATCACAGCCCCTGTTCTCCTGCAAACCCTCCAGCTTTACTATCACTGAACACAATCCCCATTTCACCCCTCGTCTTTCTTTGTCAAGCCAAGTTATACTCACCCCAAAACAGATGTCTCAAAGTTCAAATCAGTTACTACATTTACCCTAGACTCCATACACAAATCCCTAGAGCCTGCTAGCTTTTCTTCAAATTTCAGCTCTCTACTACTGATTTCCCTTTTGTTCCTTGATTCACCCTTTATCCTCTGCTTAGTGTTGTCACTACAGCTCATCTCCACTCATCCTCCCAAATGTCTCAGTTCTGATCACTTTGGCTTCAGCGCATCTCTGATCTAGTAAGCTGTCATTCTTTTGATCCAAATACATGAGTCAATAAAAGTAAAGAGCTAAAAATTATGCCTGGCAAATACTAAACACCCAAGAAAAGTTGTTTCTCCTTCTCCTCCTTCTCCCCTTTCTTTTCTATTATTATTACCATTAGTTTACCCTGCCCAGGCTTGCCCACATCACCAATTGCACCCTAATTCAATAACCAAGTCATCACTCCAAGTTCACTGCAATCATTTAAAAAGTGTTACTGTGAGAATTACATGAAAGACATGGGACATTACTGATTTAATAACAATACATTTAAAGTAAG